GTGCAAAAGGAGTTGAGAGAAATCGGAAACACATGTGGTAGTCACGGAACTAAGACCACACCTAGTGCCTTGCCTAGCATAGGACTACATATTCATGAATTATTTATTTATTTATTATTATTGTTATTAATAATAATAATAATAATAATAATAATAATAATAAAAAAAAATAATAATAATAATAATAATAATAATAATAATAAAATAATAATAATAATAATAATAATAAATAAAAAAAAAATAATAATAATAATAATAATAATAATAATAATAATAAAATAAAAAATAATAATAATAATAATAATAATAATAATAAAGAGTACTATAGAAGGGTACGACTGGTATTAAAAAACCTCAGAACAGAATTATGGCCATTAATAACCTTGCATCCCAGTGGTCCAATATAGTTTCAACATCTTGAACTGGACTCTAAATGACATCAGACAAATGGATTCTAAAACAAGAAAGCTTCTTTCTAAGTATAAGATGCATCATCCAAAGGCTGATGTAGACCGTCTATACATACCCCCGTAAAGAAGGTGGAAGAGGTCTTATTCAGCTAGAATTGTCATACAAGACAACAACTATTGGCTTACTAACTTACATGGAAACAACAAATGACTGGATGATAAAATTAGTGAAACAACATGAAAACAGAAAGAAAAAATATTCAATAATAAAAGAAGGCAGTAAATACAAACAACATTTACATTTAGTAGATTCTGTAGTAAATCAAAACAGAAGCCAAGAACCAACTATTGCAGCAAAAGATATGAAAAAGAAAGCCAAGGATAAAGCCCTTGAACAGATGAAACAACGCTGGCAAGACAAACCTCTGCATGGCCAATATCCAGAACGTGCAAATAAAACCCAATGTTGATAAAGTTAATACTCATCGATGGTTACGAGCATCTGGATTAAAGTCTGAAACTGAAGGCTTTATTCTGCAACGCAAGACCAGAGTCTTTTCACTAGGAATTTTCAGGCAAATATCATACATAATAATGTGGATCCAAAATGCAGGTTCTGTGACAAATACCAAGAAACAATAGACCATCTAATCTCAGGATGTTCTATACTTGCCCCAAATGAATATAAAAATCGTCACGATAGAGTAAATACTAACTGGACAATGTGCAAACACTTTTGGAAAATGTGTAAGCAAACACTGGTATGAACATCGGCCAGCGCCGGTTACAGAAATAGAAGATGTCACCATTCTATGGGATTATACCATCCACACAGACAGAAAAATTGAAGCAAATAGGCCGGACATTATTGTCAAAAACCAGAAAGAAAAAACTTGCCTACTAATTGATATGGCTTGTCCAGCGGATTGTAACATAGCAACCAAGGAATTTGAAAACTATCAAAATAATAAAGACCTGGAAATTGAAATAGAAAAATGTGGAAATTGAAAACAAGAATAATACCAGTGGTAATAGGTGCACTTGGAATTATAAAAATGGAACAAAACAACACATTGAAAGAATCCCTGAAACCCCAGCTTAAGAGACATACAGAAAATTGTCTTATTAAGTACAGCACACACACTAAGGAGAACTTTGTCTATGTAACGCTAGCAACTTCATCGGAGATAAAAAAAAAAAAAAAAAAAATTAACATGAAATGTGGCTATAACAACACACCACGACCTGCCTTAGGTCTTTCCGCAGACTTGGTAGGTAGTGTGTCCATAGCAGAAATCGAATGATGATGATGATAATAATAATAATAATAAAAAAAATAAAAATAAAAATAATAATAATAATAATAATAATAATAATAATAATAAAAAAAAAATAATAATAATAATAATAATAATAATAATAATAATAAAAATAAAAATAAAATAATAATAATAATAATAATAATAATAATAATAATAATAATTAGACAAAACAAATGACAGATGCTGTTTCCAAAGAATATAATAAATAAATAAAATAAAATTTAATATTTTCTGAAATTTGAAAGTATTTAATTTGATTTATAAAAAAAATACGTAATTGTTTGGAGGAGAACAAGAATATTTTAAATTTCAAAAAAAAAAAAAAAAGTAAATAAATAAATAAAAAAAAAAAGTATAAGATGCTCAATTTAATTTCCGTTATTTTAAATGTGTCAAAAATATCAATTTTATTTAAAAAAAAAATGGTCCATAAAAATAATTACAAACATTATGAAAAATAAGGAAACCCAAGTTTATATTATTATATAACTATTATATAGTTATTATATTATACTAATTTTATCAGCAGGACACTGTCATTGGCCTATTTAGCTCTAGCGCGGAGAATTAAATTAGGAAATGGGTAATTCTTAATTCTAGGTAACTTTTTGCTTTAGCGTGACATAAATGCAGAAACGGCATTCATACTGGCTTCCATATAAGATGATAATTGAGAATTATATTTCAACGTCTATTTACGAGTGGTCTCCTCCACAGGTACTTAAAATTGAGGACATTATTTAAATGCATTTGCATTACTATATCAGTGTATAAACGAAAAGATATTCAGTCAGTTACGCGCTTAAACGATTATGTATCTTTCGATATCTTTTTCCTGCAATAGGTTGCCATTTCTTTCTGCGGTAGACCAGTTGCCATCCAAGACTATAGAACCCGGTCTGTCCTACTACTTACTCATAGCTGTGTGGGGTGGGGGGGAAGAAGAAGAGGAGTCATGCCTTTCCAAACGGTATTATCACGTAAGTGAATGTAGTGGATTTGAACTCGGCTCTCCGATTCCTCAATCCGAGCCGCTATCCACTACTCCACCGTGAATATAATAAAATAAATATATAATAAAAGAAAAATAAAGCAACAGATATTACTTGTGTGAAAAAAGTGAAATGTGTTAGTTGCATAAATAGTAACAGATTTTAGTGGCGTGAAAAGTAACAGATTTTAGTGGCGTGAAAAGTAACAGATTTTACTGGCGTGAAAAGCAACAGATTTTACTCGTGTGAAAATTTAATGATATAAAAAGTAAACGAAACTAAACGCAGTAGTCAAGAACAGCCAATTTTCTGCTTAATATCAGTATATTATCTTTGCCGTCTACAAAGTATTGGAAATAACTTTCAAATGATTGTCAACAACGGATTTAATTCAAAATATTTTGCAAAACTACCTTTATCTCCAATACATTTACTGCTACTTTAGGTACACAATCTGTTTCGAAGTCACATTTCTTATTTTCTTACTGAGAAATGAGCAATATTATTATTATTTTTAAACTTCAATGTATTGATATTCTTTACTGAACTAGAAAATCTCTTCCTGTCCCTGAAGTTTAAAAATTCAATCATTGAAATCTATACAAATAACAGTTAAAAAAGCAAACAAATTCAGGTCGCCCATTTTCTCCTCAGAGAAAATTATAAATAGTATTTTTCTATTTCAAAATTGTGCTCAGAACATACTCTCTGAAAATCCAAATATAACATTTCACAACATTCCCTGAAGTTTTATCAATTTAATTCCTTTGTTTTAATTTTATTTCCATATTTTGCGATCACTAACATTACCTGATCCGGTTTTCAAGTTTTACAATACCTTGCTATATAATACAGTGATACTTTAGTCAAGGGACACCTAAATATTCTTACAGCCAAATTTTAGTTCCGGCGGATTAACATATTCTTCTTTTATATGTCGTGTCCCTTCAGGAGGCTGGCGATCATGGCTTTCCCCAATTTCCTGTCCTTTGTTGCTCTTAGTAAATTTTGCTATCTCTTTTAAACCCCGTTCTGCCATCCATTAACACAGGGTCGTTAGGTAAGTTATGCACTGTTTTCCTTTTTTTTTCCTTCTTGCCTTCAATATATTCCGTGAGTGTCCTCAATATGTGCTTTAGAAATTTCAACTATCTCTTTCTGATATTATGTATAAATGTCCTTTTTGTTTTCATTTTCTCTAAAACCTCGTCGTTGCTCAGATGTTCAGTCCATGGTATTCTCAGCATCCTTCTGTAGAACGAGATTTCTTATGTTGGATTTTATCAGGACCATTATTATCATGTCTTCTGTTATGTAAAACATATTTAGACAAACAATTCAGAATGATTTTCCTGAAGGAATTTCTGTAAGAATTTATTTTCGAATTTTTACCGTATGTTTTATTCTGATAGTTTCTTTTGTCGTACTTCTTGCCTGTGGAACTCACTTCTGGTTTCTTTCTTCCCTGGCACCTACGATTTTCAAAAAATTAAATACAACATCAATCGCCATCTTCTGCCTTTTTGATTCCTGTTCTTTTTATTGCCCTTTCTCTTCACTAGCGTCTTTTCATTTCTTTTCACTTTGAGTAACCCCTGGTGTCTGAGTGTCATTATTGCCTTGCTTGGTTTGAAACGATTGAAAACAAATTCAAGTTTACTATCATTTTATACTTTTCTCTTGCTTATGTTCTTGTATTGTGATGATTAAAAATACGCCAAAGTTTCTGTAAAAAGGATACGAACCTGAAAATATTGATAAATCACAAGAACGTAGCAACAATGTTTCACTTGTAAACTGGCTGGTAAAACTTACTGGAGTGTAGTGCTCCACATCTAATCGTGTAATGGGTCAGTTGCGATGCTTGTGTTATGGGTTGGTCATCCTTGATGTAGGTATTTTTTGTGAGCATTAAGACTAGATACTCGGGTAGATAGTAAGCTTAACCTATTTTTGCCCTGAGTTGCACAGTAGAGGATCTAATGTGAATCGCAATCACTATACAATTTCATAGTCTTCCAAAGATTGATTGTTTTTTATGGATTATCAACCTTTTGCATTCTATTTAAATATTTTGCGATTATATGAATTTTTTGGAGATGATAATGATTTACTAATACAAGTTCTACTATTTAACCCATAGATGAAGGAAAAGAGGTGGATTCGTACCTTTCCCAATGCGTAAGTGTATATAGCTCGCCCAACTTGAATTAGAACTCGGTTATTCGATTTCCAATTCCGAGGCGTTAACCATTACACCACCCGCTCATCCAAACTTACAATACCTGGTATTCCCAAGCGGTTACCCATCTAGGTACTAACCAGGTTCGATGTTGCTTAACTTTGGTGATTGTAAGAGAACCGGTGTTTCAATATGATATGGCCCTAAGACTTAGTCTTCCAAACAAGCTTAACAATCGCTTTATGCTAAATAGAAACTTTGACATTGAGTAGACACTTTAAACTTAACTGGCAAATGTTTGTGTCAGATCTGTAGAGATTTCTTCAATTTCTCATTTTTGTTTAATTCCCTTGTTAGATTCTGTATCTCACTCTATAATAGTGATGAACACGAGTCCCCTAACCCATTAGGGGCGTAGGGGTACCGTATATACTGCAGCTATAGCAGTAGTGGTATGTCTGAAGTGGTTTTGAATTCAGAGTTTTTATTCTTTGGGGCTAGTTGCCGTCTCAAACAAAGGCATTCATCCAGCCCAGTTATTTGACTCATAGCTTGGTGGAATGGAAAAATAGTGAATTCATACATTTCCCAAGAGTATTTATGCGATAGTGATCGGAATGAATTCGGACGGAATTCTAACTCGGACCGAACGATTTCTGTTTTAACAGCTATACAACCCGCACATCTCCTTCTGTAATTATGGAGAACTACACTTATATTTCATATCTTGAAGAATTTTTGAAGCAGAGTCATTAGAATTTAAAATTTCGAGACAATTTAAAATCTCCTATCTGCCTCTGACCTTACTAACACGAAATTTCGACCGATCCATTCGAAGATCTTCCTCACATGTAATGTCCGTACAAAAACATATCTCTTCTTCGGCCTGTGTGAAACAATTGAAAAACGGTAGCAAACAGACTAAAAAAAAATCAACCGGTAACGCTTTTATAATATAATTTATATTGATTTCTCTTTTTTTCAATCAAGCATATAATATCTATATGATTGAACTTCCAGTCGATAACGGACGGTTTGTGAATGTATATTTATATGCTTATATGGAACGATGAGCGTGCAATTCCGAATTGGCATTTCAAAAGGTTACGGTCGTTTTTGGAGTGTGCGTATATATATGTAAGTCTAATGACCTCCAAATGTCAGCAGGACGCTTTAATCTTTACATCGACTTAACCTATGTTTACATAATTTGGGATACGCATTGTAAATCTCTGTGCATCACACATTACCCGTCTACTATTTATAATATGCGTAAATGTGCACTCTACATATCTGTGTGTAATATTATCGATGAAAAGACTAATACGAACAAGGGACGAAATCTCTCATATGTAAAATTGTTGTTGTTTCATGTCCGGACTTTCCAGTTAATATCGGCAATTAGGTGTGTGGCTTTGGGATTTTCTTTCCGAACATGGATTCTCTTGCTTTTCTCTTTTGTGTGGGCCGCTTATATACATTATTACCATCTGGTTGTACCGCACACCGTAAGTGCTTTTCCGGTGCCACTGAGATCTTTTGAAGCACGAGGCTTTGAGGATAAGGGCACATTTCAAGATAAATTTCTGATGCATCTGGCTCCTTAGATGGTCTGATGTAACACTTTGTGAAAAGTCTACTTTAGTATTGTTTAGCGTGAGCTCAGTACATATTGGGATTACTCCACCCCAAGATAATCTTCCTTATGATAAATGTGGAGTAATTGGCCATGCTTAAATGTAATCAGCAAAATGCTTAACAAATTGAATTGACAAATTTCTCAATAAACAATAAAAAAAGGAAAAAAATGAACAGGGTAAAATAATACTAAGAAAACAATATATGCAAGTCAAAATTCGACAAAGCAATAGTAATAAGCAAACGGTTCACAAAGTAAGAATTGTGATTACACGCAAAAGGGATACAGTCAAGTGATTGTAGCGTTCTGACTTCAAGATAAGAAAGAAGAAAAATATGGTGAATAAGACCGAGATGTAGTCAATTGTTTTGGTTAAGAAAAAAATCACAGCATGCATTTGTAGGATTTGTCTATAAATTTGGTGAGAGGGATGCTGTTAGCAGTCATTCCAAAAGTTTGAAACCAAAAACAAAGATTCCTTATTAATATTAAATTCGATTCAAACTATTTAGTATTCCCTGGAGTAAATCATATATTACAAATTATACAAATTTAGAAGCAAAAATTTTTAATGCTTTTTTTAATGTTTTTTATTTCTTTTCTAAGATGTTTTTAGGAATATTGGTGCATTTATATTTGCCTCCATTGCTAGTTGGTATCAATATAACTGATTGCATTTTTTATTCAATCGGGTGAATTTACAATAGATGTATAGAGTTGAATCAAACAAGGAAGAATCTCATTCACTTTCAGTTCAAGACTGATAAATGTAGTCATTTAAGAATTGAAACAAGACGAATCTCTGAAGAATTAGCTCGGTGCTTGTTCCTTGAGGCGGATATAAGCAAATATATATCCATAGAAAAGATATCTAAACAAAACCCAGACCAAACCAAAAATAGCATGATGTACCACAGCACCAAAAGTCTTTAAAATAGGTGTCATAAAGTTATTTCGTGTTTTGTTCAGTCAAGTATAAGGAAAGATCGAAGTTATAAGCCTTATTTTAAAACTGAACTGATATGAATCAGGATTACTATTTTGATTTTGTAGTTGATACCCACAAGGATTTATTCGAGCTATTAATTGGAGACGTCGAAATCAAGTAAGTACAGAAATGTAATTATCCAGGAAGTGTTTTAACATGACGGAAATTGTCACAGAAATTCGAAGGCGCAGTGGAATAGCAAAAGATGCCTTCCAAAAGCTAAACAAAGTATTAAGGAACAGGAACATTTCGTTAGAAAAAAAATGGTGAACTATGACAACAATCTTCCTATATGACAGTGAATGCTGGATAATTACTTCTGAGACGAGGCAATACAGAAAGATGCAGAGAATAACATGGACGAAGCATGCGAGAAACGAGGATATTTTAAGGGAAATTGAAACAAAAATGAATCTTGTACTTAGAATCAGAAAGAGACAGTTGAAATTTCTGGACTTATACTAAAAAAAGATGGCATGAAGAATTCCATCTTCACAGTACATATTGAATAGCAAAGGGAAACTGAGTAATCTACCTAACGAGTATGTGCAAGGAGACAAACATTTTGTCAGAATGATGAAAGATAGGAAGTTGTGGAGGGCACTGACCAACCACATCCACAACGGACACGGCACATAGAAGAGATATTTCGGTAACGAAGTACTAAGTTCTGACGGTTAACAACACAAAGAAAGTGAATTCGGCGAATCAAATTCAAATTCCTACTGATGCCCTTGGGAAAGAGATGAATAGAGCAGAAGCACGTGACAAGATATTTGGGACGAGATGAGCACTTCCAAATAACTTTTATTGCCCCCAAGTAATTATGTAGAAATGTGTCAAATATCATACGTGTCATCACGTCGTTGATTTTTGATGACGGTTTGTGAAAGGTGGTGATTATACGGATAGTGAGAAAATAAGTTTGAATCCAATCATTTTTCACTTGGAATTGTCCAAAGTTAAATGTTTCAAATAATTCGGTGTATGGATAAAAGTTATAACAATTTTTTTTTAAACAAGAGATAGGGAAACTGAACATAGAATAGGTTGCGCTAGAGTTTCTCCTAACGCTGCACTTTGCTACGAAACCAAAACATTAACGTAAAATGTCGAGTATTGTTAACTAGCCTCGTCGGATCGTGACATTCATATGGATGTCAGGCATGGCGCCAAACACTTTCAAAAATATCTAGATGTCATCTTTATATAACCACTTTCTCAGATCAATGGCTAAAAAGGGTTTGAGCGAATGAATCCTGTAGGTTTCAGCGATGGCCACACTTCTTGAAACCTTTTTGGTCATGCGTTATAGAATCACAAACCAAGAACTGTACGAAATAAAAGAAACCGTATCACTTGAAGACTTTTAACAACAGCAAAAACTAAAATGTAACTTGAAGGGAAAATGATGTTATAGTCTAGATACTGAATTCACACACTCCGTCAAATAAAAGGTGAAGAAAGAAATCCCCATCAAGGTCAATAAAAGTTAATGAACACGAGACATCTAATTTTCCTGCAATAGTATAATTTTATAAGAATAAGCCAAAAGTAGCACTGACTGCTTGACCAATAAATGTCGAATGTCATAAGGAAGCACCTAATATAACCATTTTTGACAAACCGTTGTTCATAAGGCAGTAGTTGTAGAACTTATCTGAACGGCTTAGTTAGGAATTTTATAAGGCGTTTTCCATTAAGTTTTGCCTTGTTGTAGATTTAATATGAAAAAAAACAAAAACAAACAAAAAAACAATACTCGTTTTTGTGCAACAGATCTGAATAGAAATATTTCACCTATCAGGAAATTATATTTGTTTGTTAAAACTACTTTCAATGGCTGCGATGTGAATTATTCTAAAGAACACAAATAAGCTATATTGATTATATTGAATGTATGTGACTCAATACATTTTTTAAAAATCTCTTTTAACGAAAGTTCAACTGACGTACGTGCTTGAAACACATTTACGCGTTAAAAAATGCAAATGAAGACAGGCACATAATGCAGGGGACATTTTTGTTTAACAAAGAAATATTAGTTTCCGGTGTGATTCGGATCACACACCACCAGTTCATTTTACTATATTTCTTTATTGTAACCACTCTCTTGGCTTTTATTTTACTCACAACAATTTCATCTCCAACTTATTCTGTTAGTTAAAATGACACAATGGAAATATATTAATTCCTTGAAATTTGTAAATTACATAAAGGCAGAGTGAAATCAAATTAAATAAAAGGTGCGAACAAAAGACTGATTAACGTCCACATATGATGAAAGGTAAATTATATTTATGGTATGGATGCTAATGAAAAAACATTTTCGAATTTTAATCTAGCAGATTATGCGTAGTGACACATTAAATAATAAGTACTAAGTTAATTAATACCTATGGTTACATTAAATAGATTACTTAATTATTATCCAACAGTATTTTAAGAAACATAAGTAAATGAAAGAATGGCTTCTGGTATATATTAAGTAAAAATGCCAATTAATAAAATCTTCTATCATTTTTTAGTTGTCAAACTGAAAAGAAGAGAATGTCAGTAAAAGCTTACAACCGACATT